ACAAATACAAGCAGTGAAATCATAATTGTAACTATCATGGTTGGTTTAATTGGTAAGCAACTTGTTATTGCTTAAGCAAGATTTCGAGTTTAAATTCTTGTGTATGTAAAAAATCTGAAGACTCATCAACCAAAGTAGGTGTACAACACGGGTCGATTCGGATTTGGATTAGTCAATGTAAAATCTTAGACTAGGAGGGCAACAAAAAATAATAATAATTGTAGGATAGTAAAAATTTTGGTGGTTGAGGTGTTTTACCAAATAGATTTTGTTTGGGTTCTCTACTAAAGGGCAATTTCGTTTCATGATAGTTTTCTATAGTTGGTAATGCAACAAACCAGCTCTAGTCACATGGATATGGAAATCATCAAGCATAAGTATAGCATGCTTCAATGCTTTCCTCTTTTTCTCTCAATTATACTATTTTACCATATCCATACACCCAGCCAAAGTTTCAAATCTGAAAAATCAGTCCCAAAATCATAACAGTTTCAACAAACAAAGTGGATGAAATGAAAGGTCAACTCAAGAATAGCAAATTTACTGTACACTAAAATGTTAACCAAGTAATTCCAGAAGAGTATAAGGACATAGATTCTGCTTTCCAAGGCTATGAAACTTCACGTTTCTCATTTATCTTTCCCGATTTCTGATGAACCAAATCCACAAGTAATGGATGCTCCCACTTTTCCTTTTTCACTTTATAAACACAAATCATTGGGTGTGGGGATATCACATGAGACAGCCTAATATATAGTTAAAGAAAGACACAATCATTTTTATTATTATTTTTTTAACAAAATCGGTAATAAATTACAGGAAATATTATTATTTTTACCGGTTTTGTTATTATTGGACGCTTTACCGGATTTGATAATATATCCTGTAGAAAAAAATAATGTTTTAGGTAGCGATTTATCATCGGATATATTACCAATCTCGGTAAAGCACCCAATAATGTTTTGGGTAGAAATAAAAATGTTTTCGATAAGTTTTTACCCGTTTTATTAAAAAAATAATAAAATCGATATCGCCTTTCCTTAGCCGTATATTAAGGCCGCAGTACGGTAGAACTTCCCTGTAACAACCAAACAATGAAAAAAATAACATGAAAACATTCCTCTAGTTTTTACATTTAAGCTCATAGTTGAAGATTTATTGTAATGCTACGAAAATTGAACCATGAGATTGACTGGCAGAATGCATGTCCTTTAGTTAGAGGAAATTCACATGGATGTCAACATGGTCATATACATAATTTGGGTTAGTTTTTGCATGTAAAAACAAAGAGAGTATAGCCAGTTCTAGTGCAGGAATTCTAGCATTCAATTTGCCTTTGGCTAGTCCAAAAGAAACAAGGTGCTTTTGGGACAATATTAAGTAGCAAAGACAAAAAATTAATTCGGATCCATGTAAAATGAGAGGGATAGAACTGTAGGGTTGAATAAGGTGTCAAAATATGGGAGCAAAAAGACGAGGTAGTGAAATGCAACAAAACACTGGAAGAGAAGATGCTAGATTATAAGGATATATTTCACCTAACCTAAAAAGCTTTGAAACTTTGGGGTGTTTACTACTACTACCACCTCCTGATTAGCAGTTAAAGCAATGTAACCTTGAGATTCTCTCTCTCTCTCTCGTAGCCTTAATACCTAATCTTCCCAGTGTTTCTGTGGGATTTTTCCCGAAAAATCATCTTTTTAATTTAATATTCTCGATCAGGCACCGGTCAGACTATATTTCCTGATCTAACACCTTTTGCAGTAAGGCGCGCCCCCTGCAGCGTACTATACGCTGATTTGTCGCCACGTGGAGTAAGGCGCGCCGCAGGGGGCGCGCCTTATGCTGACATGGATACACATGTGTATGGCGCGGGGCAGGAGCCGCGCCATATGTCACGTAAGAAATAGCGCGGGGCAGGGGCTGTACTATTCAATTATCTCAATTATCAAACATGCATAATGCAAGGCGCGGTGCAAGGGGCGCACTATTCAATTATCTCAATTATCAGTCTTTGCATTTACTTCAAGTTAATGTTATTCGATAACCGCTGATGAAGATTAAAAAACGATACAATTATACGAGATTAGACGTTGGCGTTATATTAATGAATAATTGATATTAACGATACAATAAGTATTAAATAATAAATGATAACCAAATTACAATAACTTATATTAAATGATAAATTAACAAAGTAAGTATTAAATGATAAATAATAAAAAAATTACAATAAAAAAATCCAATAAACAACTACAATAAAAAAGTACTAAATACAAGTATAAAAAAACAAAATCTATCAATGCCTGCGACGCGAATGTGTTCCGCAGGGCGGTGGTTGTCAGTCTCGAGGAGGATTTCTTCGTATCACTGGTTGTGACTCCTCGCTCTCATCATCATCACCATCATCATCATCGTCGTCGTCGTCGCCGTCCTGAGCAGCTACATTTTGTTGATGAGGAGCTGATGATGATGAAGCACCTCCATAGAATAAGAACCCTCGAGGTGTATGACTGACTATTCGGCCGTCCTGTGAAAATTGGGAAAACTCATAAAACCCAGACATCGCTAAGTGTGAAAACTGTACAGGAGGTGTCTGTGCTGAGTCCATGGGTGATGAGGCTGAACCCGCAAAATGTGAGCATATGAACCTCAAGTCGAATATGCAAACATAGACCCATAATAGCCTCCAGGAGGGGTCATATAATTCTGTGACGGTGGTGGTGGCGGGGTCATAAATTCAGGTGAAGGCGGCGGTGGCGGTATCTGGTAATGGAAAGGCGGTGGCGGCATCATATATGGCTGCGGTATATAAGCCGGTGGATACGGTGGCTGCTGTGATGGTCCTGCTGGTGCAGCTGAGAATGAACCATAAGCACCTGCTCTCCGTCCACGAGTCGGGGGACGATGGTGCTGTGTCGGTGAATGTCTCTGTCGACGTCGTAAAAAGGTCTACCCTCGTACATCATCGGGAAGTAAAAACGGTTTCCCGTTCCTGTTGAACCACTCATAATAACTGTCACCAACCATCAAGAGGTCAAGTAAAATGGGCTCTCTACGGGGAAGGCGCCGATGTCGATCCTCCCACAACACGACCCACGCATGATGCCTCACCAGCCAATCTGTATCTGTCTTGCCGCGTCTATCTGTGCTATGCAACTCGTCCATATTGCGAGGTGCTTCCGGAATTGGTTGAAAACAACCAAATTTTCGGAGCACGCGATCAGTGGAGTGCTACTCGACGGTCGCATAACATATCAAAGGGACTATCGCCATCTAAACATCTGATGGGCCTTCAACTCAAGTGGGATCACCGCCCTCACATCATCAATAGAATATGGCACCCATTCAAACTAAAACAAATATATATAATTTTTTTATCAAAATAATAATCTAATTATATAACTATAATCTAAAATCGATTTTTAAACATTAAAATTCATACCTGTGTGTCAGCCTTCTGATCGATTAACACCCTAATTTTTTCTAAATCATCAGGTAGCTCCTGATGATTTTTCCTATCAGTAGACCACCTATTCAAGAAAAATAATTTCTTATTCAATGTATAAATTTATTAATATACAAAATCAGTTTTATAATTACCTCAGGAGTAGCGGAAATACGAATGAGTTCTTGACAACGGGACATAAAAAGGGCAATCGATACCATGCCCAAGACTGCAGCAGCAGGAGACATCCGCCGATAGCATTACGCCTGTAGTCAATGGCTCGACACATCTCCCTATACAGGCAAGCCAAAACTGCCGAGCCTCAACTGAATGATCCGACAAGATGAAAGTCGCCAAGATGTTGCAACCACATACAGTGAACTTGGTTGCGTGATTTGTCCGACATTAGCAACCCTCCTATCAGCTGCAGTATGCATGCCCGTGCATACTGTTTAACTTCATCGTCAGATGCGTCCTCGCTCAACTCCCGAAAATTGGCATCTAACCAATTTAACAGTATCCGTCCACCGTTAAAATGTTTCGGGACACGTCCTAGACTAACCCGGCACAAAGTAGTCCAAAAACCGGAAGCTATCCCTGATATCACACCTCCATTCACCGGAAGCCCCAGGTGCATAGCAACATCCTCAAGCGTGATCGTGCACTATCCGCACGGAAGATGGAATGTGTGGGTCTCCGGCCTCCACCGCTCTACTAAGGCAGAAATAAGGTCTAGTTTTATCTTACAGTGACCCTGATATCTACCTAGGTTACCGAATCCAACCTCTACTAAATACGACATTACACGAGTAGGTATAACTAACTTAAGATTTCTAATAAAAAGATCTAATATACAGTCTCTCTCCTAAAATATAAATAATTACACAAATTAATTTTTAAACTAATAATCATGTATTAAATTAATTAATTAAATTAAAACGTTAAAATGTTACCGTATCAGCAAAGTGTCGAGATATATGATTTCCATCTAACCAAAGTAGACCGCCTTCCATTTTATATCTGAAAAAAAAATTAATTAAATAAAATATTAAACAATTAAAATAATTAAATAAATTACTAAAAAATACTAAATATAATAAAATATACCTTAATAAGAGAATATAAGAGTATTTGAGAGAAGTTGAGAGGATTTGGTGTGATGAAAGTGATTGAGAATGAGGGTATTTATAGGGAGGGATGGGTGTGAACGGGCGGGGATAGGTTGGTAATTAAGGATATAGCGCGGGGCAGGGGCTGCGCCTTTCTGACGCGTGTCAGAATTACAGGTAAGGCGCGGCCCCTTCCCTGCGGTATACCCTTAATTACCAACCTGCTCCGCGCCATACACACGTGTATCCATGTCAGCATAAGGCGCGCCGCGGGGGTGCGTCTTATCTCACGTGACGCCAAATCAACGTATAACGCAATGCAGGGGGCGTGTCTTACTACAAAGGGTGTTAAATCAAAAAATATAGTCTAACCGGTGCCTGATCGAAAATATTAAATTAAAAAAATAATTTTTCGAAAAAAACGCGGTGTTTCTGCTATTTTTCATTCCCAAACTGATAGATATGTATGTTTTCCCCATTTAATACCGACTCCTGCATATGCAACATCTTCTATTCTTTTTGCTTTCACTTTTTCTTTCCAACCTGCAAGCTTCCAGCCTAGCAGGGTTCACTCATGGCCACAAGTACCATAGCATCCAAGCCTGCAAGGCTACTTGGAGAACTCCTCCAAGAACAGCAAGAACCTTTTGCCTTAGAGGTTTACCTTTCAGAAAAAGGGTGTGGAACAAAGAACTTAACTTCCATCCACGGCCATGGCAGTTCAGGCAAGTTTCTAAAGAAGTCTGGTACTGGTAGTAACAAAATCAAGAGAAGCAAGGGTATTCCGAATTTCCTCAAGGTACTTAAAATTATACTATGTAACAAGTTCTTTACAATCAGAGGAACCGAAAATTCCCTTGATGAATATGGAGATAAGCAAGAAACTGCAGTGGCAGGTAGATATTCTTCCGGTAGCTGCTCAGCACTGTATAAATCAAGCTCAGATAGTGACACAGATGAAGCATCGATGTTTACGGACAACCCAAAGCCTTCAGAACTCCATACCGAAAGGGTAAAAAAGGTAGAAAAGACTTTCACAAGACTTTCATATTTTGCATAAAGCAGATTCTATCTGATATTCTTATAGGCTGCTGTAGACACAAAGTTTCAATTGAGTGCATGCATAGAAGACAGTAAACAACATAGCCCACAGTCAGTATTAGAATCAGTATCTACTTCAACAGGTTCCCCACTGGATACCAGTTAAGTATCTTCAATTATTCACTTGTGATTTAAATTCATTATCGAACACTAAATCTCTTGCTTTTAAAACAGTATCCAATACAAGGCAGAAAAGTCTCACTTTGCCTAAGCTAATAACAGAGGAGTCGATATTGTCAGCTGCATTATGGAGTTTACTTCACCAAACAGCAGCAAAAGAGCAAACAGGCTGCGAAGGATTAAAAGAAGGTAATGGTTCCCCATTTTCGGTGTCGAAAAGGTTTTTGCAGCAAACAAGGCAGCTTCTATTGGACTGTGTTAGGGAGTTGATAGATCATAACAAGGAAAGGTTTTTAGGGACGGAGGAGATTGGGAATATTATATGTGAGAAAATAAGGGAATGGGGGAAACCAAGTGGAGATGAAGGGAACACAAAGGAGACGTTGGAATTGGATGTAATGGTAATGGAGAGATGGAATGATTTTGAGATTGAATCCGGGAAAAGGGAGATGGGGCTATTGCTTGGAAACGCCATTGTTGATGAGATTACAAGTGAAGTTGTCATGGATATGATTAATACTATTGTCTAACTACATAACATGATGTAGATATAGTATGCTTCCTTGCTTATTTCAAATTTCAATTACTATTTTGTTTTTCTGTTGGCTCTTCTGATCTTCATCTCTAGGCAAAGATTTATTACACGTTGATAGAAATGATTTTTGGTCTATGGGCTTCATAGAATTCACACACAAAATTAAGTGCATATATATTTAAATTTGTTTAAAGCCGTGCTGGAATGTCTTACATAATTGATCAAAGGAAATTTAATTAAATATAAAATGATGGAACCAACCATATTCTTGGGGCATATTAATGATGAACGGGTGTATCCATTGACCTAATGTACATACCACCAATAATTGAAAGAACCTTTTTTTTTCCTTCCTTTTGGTGATTTTCTTTCTCATACTTAATCCAAAGATATTTGATTAAATCATCGGATGGCAGCCAAATGGCAAAACAATTATTAAGCTTTATAATTGTAGACAACAAGTTTAGTCATTTGTTGTATTTATTTTGATCATTTGTTCTATAACATGACACCCATTTCTTTTTGAGAATATATATAAAAAGGGGACCATGCATAAGACAATAAATGCTGGCAATGGTAGAATGATAAATAAGTAGTAAGAGCTGACAAATATTCACAAGACAACAACAAAGCTTTTTTACATCAAATAAAATAGCCTAGCCGAATGGAAATTCTACCTCTCTTAATAAGGATCGAAAATTCCAAAAGTTCTTGAGCCTCCTAAATATCCAACACAAATCAGAGCCACTAGATATAAACACAAATAATAATATTTTGCACTCAGCTTCTAATGTGTGAGTGACTACAAAAAAGGCTAAAAGGTTATTGGACGTTTTGATTACTTGTTTATAAAATACAACAATATAGCAATAAAATCTTTCAACTAGTTTAATCACCTTGTTTCTTAGCATATTGGATGAAAACGATTGATAGGAAACCACTGCTTTTACGCGACCCGTCACGGTCTCTCTTGTGGTTTTAATGTTGGTTTTCACTGACGGATTTGGGTGAATGAGCACACTATTGGAAGAACATTAAGACTTGGATAAATAAACAAATATTATCATCAATTGATATATAGATAGATATGTATCTTTCTTGGTTTCTTACAGTCGCTTCCATGTCTTCGAGACTTCTTGGACTCCTCCCTATCATCCTTGTCATAACTCCCATCATCAACAGTGCTCTGATATCGTTTACGGTGTTTCCTGTCTTTTTTCTTCTCTTCTTTATGACCATAGCTGTCATTTATATCCAAATTCTCAATATCTGTCTCATCCCTTTTAGTTCGATCCTTACTTTTTTTTCCTTTGACGTTCTCTTTTCTTCTCCTTCCTCTCTTTCTCTTTCTCTTTCCGTTTCTCTTTCCCTTCTCTATCTTCCCCTTCATAGCCTGAAAACAAGATAAACATCTTCTGATTAAGAATAAACTGTGCACATTCAGATGAAAACCAAATTCTACATAATGATTTAGAAACGAACAAGGAGAAGAAAGCAAAAAAGAATTCTTGAAGAATTAATCACATCTCTCATTTCCAATATCTCACTTTTATAAAGATTAACAATCCTTTTATGCAATAATTAAACACCTAACTATCTCATAGCCAACTAACAAACAAGCTAACCATATTTCTTGACAGTAACTAATTAATCCTTTTAACACCCCCTCAAGTTGGAGAATGATATATATCTTTCATTCCCAACTTGCACGCTAAGTACTCATGTTGATTTCTTCCCAACCCTTTCGTCAAAACGTCTGTTGATCCTTGGTAGATACATGTTGAGTACATACAACTATTTTCTGAATCTTCTCTCGCACAAAGTGGCTGTCTATCTTTATGTGTTTAGTTCCTTCATGATAAACCGAATTGGTCGTTATTTTTAAAACAACTTAACTATCACAGTAAAGCATTACTGGTTCACGCTGCTCGACACCCAACTCTTCAAGTAAACCCTTTTCCATACAATCTCAGCCACCATCGATACCATTCCTCTATACTCCACCTCAGCTGACGGTCGAGAAACGGTGCTTTGTCTTTTTTATTTCCAACAGATTAGAGTCACCCACCTTGATGCAATACCCGTAATCGACCTTCTTGTCATTGTTGTAACCGTTTATCGGTTATGCCACGAATTAGGCTTCGACTTGAAATAATTGGGTTGAGAGTTGCCACCGATAAGTTATTTTATGAAAAATTGGTTGATCGGATACCTTATTTCTTACATGATCTGCGTCGTACCAAAGATGTGTCGGATCTGGGAGTCAGTTACAGTCAAGGAAGGGTTATCACATTTGAACTGCCCTTTCGGTACTATGTAATTTCCAATTGTATTTAATTAAGAAAATTGAAAGTTTAACTTGAAAGGTAAAATAACTATCCCAAATACTTATCCTTTATAGTTTTAAAAGTGTACCCTTTAGGAAGTTAAAAAACATGTTAAATAAAAATGTAGTAAAATGAATAAAATAAAGAAGGTGAAATAAAAATAAATGCAATAAAGTAGAGAAAATAAAACAGATAAAGAAGATGTAAGCAAGATATATAAAATAAAATAAAGAGGTACAAAAACAAATATAAAAAATATATATAAATAAAATACATAAAATAAAGAAGATAATAACAATACAAAAATAAAAATAGAAGATACAAAAAATAAAAGATAAAATGAAATATATAAAATAATAAATATATATAACATATAATTATAGTGATAAAATATATATAAATAATAATGATATATGAAAAAAATTAAAAGTATAGTATAGTATATATATATATATATATATAACGATAGAATCTAGAAAATAAAAAAAATATAAAAAATAGCCAAATGAAGATAATTAATATATATATATATATAATAAGAATAATAAAAAATATGCATGTAACAACAAAGGACTATTATAAAACAAAAGCTAAAATTGGGGTCAAATTTGAAAGACAATTAACGTTGATATTGCGCATTAGGAGGGGGCGAAATGAATGTTTTAACTTTAAGCTTTTCTTCTATATTTTTTGAAATTCCAAATAATTTTCAAAAATCAGGCCTCGGGATTACTAGATCTACAAGATAGATCTTTAAAAAACCTTCCCGTTTATCGGCCAAAAATGATTTTATTTGGGTTTGACTCGAGAAAAAATAATGGAGAAACACACATGCAAAGACTTAAAGCGATAAATATACAAGCTTTTACCTTTTCTACTTATTTTCCTCTTCGAGAATCACGTTTTTTGCTCCGATTTGCTAGTAATTTCTGCTATTTATTTTGTATATCGTGTCTTACAAATGGGGAGGATTATATATATTTATAGTGAAAAAAACTAACTAACAATAGAATCCTAATTCAAATAGACTCCTTGCTCGGTTGTTGCACGTTTGTTGGTGTGGTTGTTGCTTTAAAAGATATGGTGGTGGAAGAGTCCTCTTAGGAGAGGAACTCTTGCTAGCTCTATCTTTTAAGAAAATTGGTGTCTACAGCTGTCCCTCTTTGAATCAGAATGTGGCTTCTCGTTGTAGTTCACTTTGGTCTTCTTCTCGGTTTAAAGACCTTGGCTAAAAATTCGACTGGAAAGTAATCTCTTGACTCCACAATGTGTTTGATATTCCCTCGAGCTGAATGAAACCGAACTCGAAAAGTCTTTGCTGACAGATAGCTTTTCTCGACTTAAGCTATGCTGACAGAAAAAAGGCTTCTTGCTACTAAGGCACGACTAACCCATATATTCTTCTTGGCTTGAAAACCTCGATTGCAGCTGGACAATAGTGTGATTGAGGTGTTATCGAGCTGAATGGAATCGAACTCGATAATTTTATTGACAGATAGCCTTCTTGCCTTGAGCTATGCTGTAAATGATGTGCCTTGGAGTTGAGCGTAGTTGAACTCGAAGGTCTTTGTTGACAGATAACCCTTCTTTGAGTTGGATATCCATCGTCATGAAGTTGAAATCCAATCTAGAGATGGATGCTGCTTGTGTGCAAGATTCCCTTCGTTGTGAAGTTGAAACCGCGAGTGGCACCTTCGTCGTGAAGTTGAGCCTGGTAATTGGATATCCTTCATCGTGAAGTTGAAATCCAAGTAGGTAGTATTGTTCCAAGTCCAATATCCTCCGTCGTGAAGTTGAAATTGGCTCTGGAAATTATTTGTTGATAGTCAGCCGCTCCTTCGCTGTGAAGTTGAGCTTGTGTTGTCTCGAGTTCATTATCCTTCGCTGTGAAGTTGAAATTGACTCTGAATGAAACTGAAAAGTTATTTGTTGACAATCAGTCGCCCCTTCGTTGTGAAGTTGAGCTTGTGTTGTCTTGAGTCCAATATCCCTCGCTGTGAAGTTAAAATTGGCTCTGAAACTGGGAAGCCTCTTCGTCGTGAAGTTGAGCCTCAAATGGCACGATATCCTCCGTCGTGGAGTTGAAATCGTGGATGTGCGGGTACGATATCCTCCGTCATGGAGATGAAATCGCGGATGACCCCTTCGTCGTGAAGTTGAGCCTTGACTTGGATATCCTTCGTCGTGAAGTTGAAATCCAAGTATTGCACGATTCCCTTCGCCGTGAGGTTGAAACCGAGGATGCCCCTTTTATTGTGAAGTTTGGCTTCGAGCTAGATATCCTCCGTTGCAAGGTTGAAATCTACTCTCGAACCAATTGTGTCACTTCGAGTTCAATATCCTTTGCCGTGAAGTTGATATTAACTCTAGCTAAGACCTGTCTGGAATTTTGATTCTAGAATCTTGAAGTTTTGATCCCTGATCTTGAATTCTTCAAATGTTCAAATCTGATGTTTGTTTTTTATTCTTGATCTGGGAAATGCTTCTCGACCATCTCAAGTATATGCATGAGCCTTGATCGACTTCCGAGTACATGTACTTTTTAATGAATCTTTGTACAGTAATATACAAATATCTTTTGCATACGTAAATAAATCATTAAGCTTAAGCTCAATCCAAGATGCTCAAAAGGAATTGGTTTGGAGAAAAAAAGATTGTCTTTTATTCATGAGAAAAAAAGAACAAATAACACATGGCAAATATTCTGGAAGATGAAGACATGATGAGGTGTAAAATGT